TCTAGGGTCTTTGCCAGCTCTAAATCATATCATCTCACTCTTATGGATCCGAGATAATGAACACCATGGTTGTGGTGTTCTTTTTTTTCTCAAAGACTTTCCTTTGTGTGTTGGGCACACGGTGGAGTTGGGAGAGGGCTGGATAGAGATGAGCTGAGGGGAGGATGCATGCCTAAGGTGTCATCAAGTTCTGATTCTGGCACAGTTGTTAATGAGTTCAAAACTCTGAACATCAGTGCCTAGAAATAGAGCCACTTTCTCTGCCAAGGCACATACAAAAATCTTCCCTCAGTTCATCTCCCCTCAGTTCATCTCCATACTATTGACAGGGACTTGGTAGGGAAGGGAAAAGGGCTGAGAACTAGAGTAGGTCCTAAGGTATAACTTAGAAAACCAAGAGCTGCTGCAGCCGCTCAATACCCAAGTGTATTTTTTCTAAATTAGGGACATCTAGAATATAGACACAAAAATTCTTGTATCTTTCAGTTTAGCAGTTGGATAACATATGCTCCTGGCCTCTTTCCATGAATTCCTCTTCTCCTTGTCTCTCAGGGCATGTCTGGCCCTGCTCTGGTCTGGGCTTAATAAATACTTGTTAATTGCCTCCCCTTTCCTTTTATCACTTTACTCTCTACCCGTTGATTCACTCAAGAGCAAGCAGGGTAATAGGGTTGACAATGGCTAACTCCTTCTTCTATCTGGGATAACTGGCAAAGCAGAGGTTTAGGCTAGATCACATCTTCCAGCCCATTTATATCTTTGTTTCAAAAGCTAATTGACTGATGGGAGCAGGCCATCTTCTGCAGCATAGACTGATTGAAAAATGCCAGTTGTGTAAATGCAGTGTCACAAAAGGCAATAAAATTGATTTGGAGGAGGAGAAACAAATTTACCAGAATTTATATACCCAAATACATGCTATCTTTCAATATAGTCATCATGGCAGGCCATGTGCTTATTTGAACAGGGCTGCCTTTGCTTCCAACAAGTTTGGAACTCTTCAAGAACTACCTTCCAGAGCTAATTTTCAAACCATTTAAAACTGAGCTCCATGACTTTGTCATTGCATCTCATTTTCTACCCCATATGGTATTACCTATATTGATCACCCACTATATTTGCTTCTCAATGACCTTGGAGCATTTCTAAAAATCAAATCCACCCTCAGAAGAAGTTTGCCACCATTTAGACTATTCAGAAGAACATACTGCAGGCTCCGAAGACTGATTCTGGCGCAGGATTCCCAAAATATTTGGATCAAGGTGCTATAAGTGAAGCTTCTCATGGCAGCTGGAAGAGTGTGATGTTCATTTGAACAGTCAACTCCTCATGTTGTTCTAGACACTCAATTGAAATATAACCAACCTGCACATTGACACTACTTTCATCCAGTGAGTACTTTGACTTTTTTTTCTTCCAATAGTGAGGGGTTTGGCTGACCCCTAAATGCATTCTTGACAATCTGATGACTAACGGGGAGCATTTGTCAGAATGCTGTTCCCAGTTCCTCTGCTAAAGTTGTCTTCTCAGGCCTTTTGTGAGTTAGATGCAACTCTGACTTTTTTAAAGACCATGCCTGTGAAACATCGGACTCTTTAGCAGGTCCTAACAAGTCTTCAACTAATGACTGTGTGATGGTCTTGTGATAGTCTGTATGTTTACCATCTAAATATGAACCTAGCCTTATTCAGAGAGGCTTATCACCAGGTGAGCCTGCTCCTACACTAGGAGGCCATAACAACCCTGCAAGACCAATGCAGAGGGATTGTTGGAAGAAGAACCCAGAATCCTAAAACCATGTAAGGTAATGTGGTGAAGTGGAAGGATGCTGGATTCCAAGTTAGAAGACCAGGGTTCAGACATTTAGCTCTGTCATATAATACCTATTGGACCTTTGGCATACACTTTTTATCCCTGGGTCTCAAGTTCCTTATTAGTAAGGAAAGAAGAAAGTAAGCATTTTCAAAACACTAAATATGTACTAGATACTGTCTTAAGAAACTGTCTCTGAATTTAAGGAGTTTATATTCCAATGGGGGAAGACAATATGCAAAAGAAAGTTGAAAAGCAGGGGGTCAGAAATGAAGCTATCTGGTAGGGGGTAAAGGGTGAGGAGTAGGGATGGTATTGTTTTGATGTACACAGGAAGTCCTGGTCCTTGACATAAGGTGAGAAGGGGAATTAAGGCAGAACAGCTTTTGTCTCTCTACAAAACAGAGACTTCAGGAGGTACTCACCAATGGCAGAAGGCAGGGTGAGCTTTGCTGAGGGATATTCTATGGTGAATGGGCAGTAGGGGTGGTAGGCTGTTCTAAGATGAGAAGGTCCCAGACATTGAAGGAAGTTCTAGGATGAGTCGACAGTAGGGGGCATGGTTTTGAAGTCCAGGAGAAGTCAGGAAGAGGGCAGGAGGAGAATGAAGAATTAGGTATAAAATGGGAGGTTGGCCCTGATGGCTTCCAAAGTCCATTCCAATTCTTTGTCTCTGTCTGTCTGTCTGTCTCTAGATAGATAGACAGAGAGATAGAGAGATAAAGAGAGATAAAGATCCTCTGATATGTCTATCCTATATTCAATGATACTTGAAGTACTGAAGCATTGCCCATACGACAAAGAAAGTCTAAGTAGTTTATCCTAGTTTGGTGTTACTGGAACTATTTTCCTTTTAAAATTATTTTTATTATTATGAATTTGACAAGCATCAACAAACATGAACATTTCTTTATACAAGGAACAGAAAAATTATTTTGCATATGAAGCTCTGAATCTCCGCTACTTGTGGCTTAGGTTTTTGTTTTGTTTCTTTTATTTTGATTTTTTTTTGTGTATATTTCAAATTTAACACAGTCCTTCCAACACTGCACTGCATGTTTGTATCCCTTACTTAACTCCCTTCTGCTACTGGCACTATTTTCTAACCAGTGTAGCTTAGCATTTAAGAGTAGCCACAAATCTTTCTTCTGCTTCACAACTCTCAAATTATTTAGGATTATTTTAAGATCAAAGGATTAGAGGTGAAAAGGGACTTTAGCAGTCATTTAGTAGAGTGGTTTCAAACTCAAATAGAAATGGGGGCCAGTAAACCATACATATGGATCCCTGCATGTACCATATTGACTTAGAAACCACATATTATCTATGCTTTATTGTGTTTTTTTTTTCTTGAAAAATGTTTTCCAATTACATTTTAATCTGGTTTGGATCATCCTGGGGAACACTGTTGGCCACATGTGGTGGCCCATAGACCATGTGTTTGCTACCTCTGATCTAATATAATCCTTCATTTCACAGTTAAGGAAACTGATTCTAAATAGGTGAAGCAAATCATTCAAATTCACACATAGCGTCAGAGCCAGGTTTCAAACCCAGTTCTGACTCTAGATACAGCTCTCTCTTCATGTGAAGAAAGCCCTCATTCTCCCATCTTACCCCCAACCCCCAATCTTCTTTTCTTTGAATAAATATCCCCAGTTTTAAAAATTAGTCATCATACGACATGAACTCAAGGGCCTTCACCATCTTGATTGTCATTATTTATCTTTTTTTTTTTAAATTCCCAACAATGTGTCATTGTTTTTGTTAATATGTGGTGCCCTGAATTGGCCCCAATACTCTAAATGTGGTCTGACCAGGACAGACTATAGCCATGCTTATCATCTCTTTACTCCTAGAAGCTACAACTTGATACAGCCCAAAATCACATTGGCTTTTTAGTTGGTCTAGTGCTAAAGAGGACCTTGGAGATCTCCTAATCCAAACTCCTCATTTTATAGCTTAGGAAACTGGATCCTGCATAGGGGAAATAACATTACAAAGGCCCTGAGTTTCTATTAGCATCTCTCTTTTCCCTTTTGCTGCAATACTAAAAAAGCTTGAGCCCTGATCTTCAGATACTTCCCCCAGCTACATAAGGCAGGCATTCATTGGATTGCTGTCCTATATATATAGTAATAGACAGTTCTGAGCTTCAAATTACCTAAGATGTGCATACTACTCTGACTAAGTCAAAACAATGAGAAGTTAATTTTGTAAGGCTACCCCACACAAGCCATAATGGTGAAAAGGGGCTGTAAACATGGAAAATCCATCAATTCTGAAATAAATCTATTCATTGTCAATTAGACATGTCAAATTCCTGAGCTTTCACCAGAAAGTGATATATATGATTCCTGAGAACCAGAAGTAAATACACTACAACAGTGATGTTCATGCTGCTCATCTTGGTTAAATCGAAAAGCTATTTCTTTGGAAGATTCCCATCAAGACTTAAAGAAATCCAAAGCCCTATGTAGCAGCAAAACCAATTCCGTGTGGATGGGTCCCAAGAGAGTAGTAACTCAGGAATATCCCTAGGAGACTGGGATGTAGAGGTAGGGGAAGCACAATAGAAGACTTGAGGTTGAATCCAGCCTCAGATATTTACCAGCATGTAACCCTGGCCAAGTCAATTCCTCTCTTTCGGCCTCAGTTTCCTCATCTGTAAAACAAGTATAATAATAGCACCTACCCCATATGGTTGATGTGAGGCTCAGGTGAATAATATGTGGAAAGCACTTTGCAAACCTTGAAGTGTTATATAAAGTTAGCTATTAATAATATCTGGGATAATATAAAAATTAAGTTAATGAATTTAAATTAAGTCAATAAAATAACTATAAAAGGGAGTTCTGAAAAGAAGACACAAAAAGTCAGCCTGAAGCTTGATAAGTTTGTATGGAAGAATGGTTGTGGAAGAAAGGATTATGATGGAGAAGTTTATGGTCTAGACCACTTGTTTCTTACGTCCCCCCACAATCCACTGACTCACCAGATTGCAATAATCCAGAGCCCTCTTCCCAAGTCCCATCACACCGAGCAGGGCTAGGACCATTAGTAATTCTCACTCATTAGAGTTAGGTCTGGGTATATCAGTGTAACTATACTACGAGCAAGAAGGCAGGGTAAAAGGAGGGTTAAGCTATTAGCAAGAAAGAGAGCAAGTGCAAACCAAACTGAGCTGCTTCTGTTTAATTGTTTATTTGAACATCAAAGAGGTTGAGAAAATTGTCTACAGGTTCTTGGGTATCCCACCAAATTCTTTACTTCTTAAAGGTGCAAAAGAGGTTTACATGTGTGTTTCATTTAACAAAGCAAGGCAGCAACAAAACAAAATTACATCAAAAAACAGTATGCATCAGCGAAAGAGCAGAATAATCCAGCCAGCACATCATGGCAGCTGAGCCTCCTCCCATGAAACAAAGACTCTACGTGGAAAGACTGTGTAGAGTATACCAAAAAAAAGCATCATTATCTGAAGCTGTGAGAGACATAGACTGGCGTAAAGTCGCTTGTTAATTCAAGTCTCTGTGACCAAGGACCTCTCTTCATTCACAGAGGGGTCAGTTGTTGGTGGCACCTGGTTTCTAGTGGGGATTGTGTGTTGGTTTTCCAGGTACTCTGCTGTGCAGCACATACACGCTGAGGACGGGCTTGGATCATGGCAGCATTTACATATTTTAAAAGTTCAGGCACATTTGGATGCAAAAAAGATAATAGAAATTTTTTTTCTTTAATCTCTGAAAGAGTGCAAAATTGAAATGCTTAATAAAGGCAGCAATCACTTATAAAATAATCTCCAATGACTTAAAAATAGCCCACATTTTTAATTAAGACAGAGAAATACAGCTAGAAACAGAAGAAAATTGCGATAATGGAAAGATGGATATTTGGTTCTCACAATTTAATTCATTTGACTCCAGTTGAAAATATATTAAATTTCTGGGATACTGGCAAAGAAAAGTATGCAGTAAGATATGTGTCCAACTCCCAGGACTTGCTCAAAATAGAACAATGATCAATGAATCAAAGCATATAATGACCAGACTGATTTAAAAAAAAAAAGGCTAGTTTCCCTTTGCAAATTTGCCAGTGGGTAGATAAGACATTGATCACAGCATCCATAGCTATCTAATCTCATTTTTTTGAGAATGGGCAGGTCCTAGAAATAGACAACTCAGTGTTGGGAAAGTCATTATGAATGGAAAATTGTTTTGAATTGTTTCCTCTCAAGTGATGCTGCCTCAAATCCTTTTTGGAAGTGGGCATAGTATAAATCCTAAATAAATACATTTCATTTAGTACTTTAGACCAATGGTTTATAGTATAGTCATTCTAATGAATACCAATTTCAGTATAAGAGCTGTCCTCCCCACAAACCAACTCTTCCCAAAGGAAATAAAACAGGGGGAAAAACAATGTCACATTGGTGTATTTAAAGCTGAATTATAAATGTGCGTGTATGTGTGTGTGTATATGTGTGTGTGTTTCCTCTCTCTCATAAGGACATGAGCTTTAGCTTTGCTTCAAAGTGGATGAGGCAAATCAAATCCAAGACTGCTTTTCCTCAGGGGCAGGCTTTAGCAATGAATGTTGGGTATTAGATTTGTTGTTTTGTTTTGTTTTTTTACACCCTCTTGTTACTCTATGATATCACTAAACTATCACTCCATTAAGTCCATAGCTAGACTGTGGTTAAGAGAAAATTCGGCCCAGCTCTTAAGTTAGCTTTGTTTCTCCAGAAAATGTCTTGCCTGTCTGGGCCTGAAGCAAGTCCTGTTTTTCCTTTCCTATTTCTAAAAGCCCTAAAACTACCTTTTTCTAAGTGACTGTCCATTTGAGCAAGTTATCTGAATGTAGTTTATGGGGCACAGTTTTGATGGCAAACCCTTAATGTGCATTTTCCTAACCTGCCCTAGAAAGCAATAAGCAATTGACAATCATTGTATCATCCCCCAAAAGAAAATGAAGAAGCAAATCCTACCTTCCCACCTATAAATTTCCCCAGAAAGAAAACTACTAACAATGGATCTCCAGTACATGCCTGAGTAAGGAAGAGCAGCCGAAACTAACTGTCATTCACTCACTAGTTGCCATTTCATTTAAGGCCAGGAAGAAATTTCTAAAATTGTTCAAGACTCAGATATAGCAGGCTAATAATGAGTCCATCCAATTTTTTCTTCCCGTCTTGAGCTTAGTGGGATCTTGACATGAATACAAACTCTTTGGATGAGCTAAGTGAAATCCTCCACTCTATTTCTGTTTGGTTACAGCTGGAATTAAGTCATCTATAGTCCTAGGGTAGCTTTTTATTTGTTTTTGTTTTTTTGTTTTTTGTTTTTTTAAAAAGGAAATCCAAGTATAAACATTAAAAAGAATCCACCATCTTAATGGCTACTGTCCAGAAATATCATTACTAATATTTTGGTAAAAGCAAAATTAGCTGCCCTGAATAGTCTTCCTTCTCAGGTCTAGGCTCTGCTACATGAGATTGACCATTTTCCAACATCTAGCAATAGGCACCGAGATTCATGCTGCTTTTGTCTATTATGGATATAAAAATTGATATGAAATGTGATTTTCATGTAAATGAACAATCACCAGGCCTTAAATGACAGCATACACAATAAGGTAGCTTGAAGAGTATCTAAGAGCTAAACATTTTGTTGGTTGGTTTTTCGCATGGTAACTCAGTCAACCAAAATCTAGAACACAATCGCTACATTCAATCGTCTGATAAGCAAGTGATGCAATTTAAAAAATATATTACATTATATAAGGTGCTTTTCCCCACACAAAATGACAAAAAAAAAGAAAAAAAATATATTTTGTGAACAAATTAGTGATGTAGACAAGTAAAATTGCCTAGAAAGTTAAATGCACATACATATACCAGAAATCAACATTGTTTTGTCCCTTCCCATTTCCCAACACTTCCATCATGGCTCACACTGGGTGCCTGGAAATAAACATATTTTAATTTGCTTTACATACTACATGTATGATGAGAATCCCAAGCAGCTGATCCTAATTATGATTTGCCAAGTAATCTCTCAGTTCTGTTTTGAATCTTAGACTATGGGCCTATTAGGGAGGAAGGTGGTTAACAGCAAATGTTTTTCTTAGTGCCCTGGGTCCATATGTGTCCTATTTGTTGTGAAATGACAATCCCTTGTGCTGCAATCTGACAAGGTAACAGTTCCTGTAAAGGCTGTCCTAAGGTTGGGAGATCATTTCTTTTTTAAGTTAATTAGAAGGATTCCTGTGGCCCCGGGGCTAACTTCTCATTCTTGGCTTATGAAACAAAATGGGCCATGGAGAAGACGTTTTCTAGGCTGAACTCTGGGGAAAAAAACAAGGAAATACAATTGATAAAGTTTTGGCCAAGCCCTTCCATTCTTTTCCAAATGATCTAACCTAAGGCATCTAAGCCTTCAGCCTGACTACATGGGCACTACCTCCCCACTCCAGAAGCACTAACTTAACAGACAGTCCTTACAAGCTAAGTGTTCTGGGGACACAGCCAGGCTAGTACTGCCTCTCTTGACAAGATAAGATCATTAAGACCCAAGCTGAGCCTGCCTAAGGAAAATGTTGAAGAAATGTAAGGGACAATGGGCTTGCTCACTCGTGACTGGGTAAGCTTAGTGCTGAGTTTGAACTCAGAAAACCCAGAAAATGTGTGACTGAAGATTGACACACAGGTCCAGTTGTTCAGCTCTATCCTCTTCCTTCTTGTCTATTTCTCCCTGTTTCTCTCCTGGAACCTTTTAATGCCTGGATATAGCATTTTGTGAATAGTTAGCTAGATGTCTCTGGCCTAATGAGTCATTGTACCTTCTGTGGAGTCTCACATACTTCCAGGAGATAATCTACATGAGAGGAGACTTTTGCTATTCATAAAAATCCAAATTGTTCATATGGAGCTCTTTGGTCAGCAAATGAGACTCCATGATAGGGCAAGTCCTGAGGCCAACCTCCCACCAGTTTTATTAAAAGTCATCAAGAAGGTTTAGACTACCAAAAAAAAAAAAGTAGGAGGGGGAGTTTAGTATATGGGTGTTCAATAGGGACAAACTTGCCTGTGACTATTAGCAATGGCAAATATGAATTAACCAGAGACCACTGCCTCAAATGCAAAGCATGTATCCTCTAGAACACTGTCTTCAATGATGCAGTTCTCAGCAAGCCCTAGCATCTGATGCATTAAGCCCACAGAGCTTTGGCAAAGAGGATCAAAATATAAGACTGGATGCATCTGGTATTGCTACAGAGGAAACAAACAGATAATCACAGGAACATTTTACTATCACCATGCAACAGAGCAAAAGCTGTAGAATATAACTTTAATAAAAATGATACATTTCTATAGGAATATAAGAGTAGGCTATAATTAACCTGTGACCTATCCTTTCCTAAGCCAGCAGTTAAAGAACCTCATTGAAATCTGTGTGAGTGGCTCATTCTTAGAGCCAGTCATCAAAAGACATGTGTTTAACAGAACTGTTACCTTCCTCCCTTCTAGGTCAGGGCTTCAACATGGCTTTAAAGCAAAGGGCCAATTGAGACCCAACTCTTAGGCTGAGCTCAGTCATGAAGAGCTTCAGGAATCCTTAAGCTAATTAATGCAGCAAAGGGGGTAAAAAGAGCCATCGCAAAAAATTACAATTAACTTGGCCCTGGAATCTCTGTTGGCTATTTGCAACAATTGAATGTTTGCTGTTGAGAATGGTAGCAAGCAAATGAATGGCCACTCATACTCAAAATCACTGGTGATGGATGCATACTGGAGTGTGTATATATGGCATTATTTAGCTTAAGTGATGCATGAAGTAGGTATTATGCTGCTAGGATTCTCAGAACCTCCTGGGATCTGGGACTCAGGAGCTCTTAGAGTGTGGTGGGGAAACTCTCCTCATCCCTTGTGATATAATAGGTTTGCAAGGAATGCGATGAAGTTGACGCAGTTGCTAGCTGGTTTTGGTTGTCTTCCTCCATAGAGGCACCCCCTCTGTTTGCTGGTGCATGTAAACGGTGAGCATCCAGCATCTCCAGGAGCAGGTCATAGAGTGGGACCACATTCTTGCACTTCATGTTGTACAGGTGCTCCATTCCTTTGTTGCTGTGGTTTCAAAGGAAAACAAATCGATGATTATGACTTTAGCTCAGCAACTATCCTGATCAATTAATCAATGAACCAACAAGCATATATTTAGTGTCTGCTAAATAGACCAGCTAGCCAAGAATAGAAAAAGGAAAGCCAAAGTTACCTCTACTAGCCTATCTTAAACCTGGCCCAGCCCTTAACTCCTCAGACTTTTTCACCTTGACCTTCCAGGTACCATCTCTTTTGATTCAATTCTCCTTTAAGTATTATCTTTGTTCATTAGCTGAAAATGGGTGAAACTGGTTGTTTAGTTAAAGAGGCTGGAAGTAGGACAAAGATTAAGCTTTACTTAGAGTGCGCATGAGTAATGGCCTCATTAATACTAACTTCTCCACCCAGAGGGGAGCAATAGCACAAAACTAGGCACAATTCATATGTTAGTGGGAGGAGAGACGTGTGATGAAGGGGGAGTATCAGGAAGGTGGTAATGGGAAGACCAGGGACCAATCCCGGCTCTGAAGGGAGGGACTAACTGCCTAAATAAACGTCCCTTTGTTGATTTCAGTTTAAGTTTTGTTTCTTAAGGGAGGACAGAACTCTGCGTGGTGTGTTTCTAGGGGAGCAGTGAGTCGCTGAACCACATTCTCACCCTGAGTTTATTCCGGGAGTCGGCTCATTACGAGTGAGCTCTTTTCATCTTCTATATGTGTTTTGTGTTTGTCTGCTTAGTAGTGTCAGTTGTGTCCAACTCTTTGTGACTCGGCTTGGGGTTTTCTTGGCAAAGATACTGGACTGGTTTGCCATCTCCTTCAATATATGTAGTTTCCCATAATTAGAATGTGAGTCCTTTGAGAGCAGTAACGATTCAGTTTTTTTGTATGTATTCTCAGCCCTTAACACAATACTTGTACGTAGTAACAGCATAACAAATTTTTTTTTTAACTTCGTGCCATTCCATCATTAAATTGCTGTGAAAGAGAACTAAAAAATCCTGAATAATCAATAAATTGTAACCCTTTTTTGCTCCCCAACTCTAGCTCTTTCCTCACAAAAGAAATCCAACCAAGAAACTTCTATAGCTAATCTTTAGCTATAAATTGCATCACGCTAATAGAGCAGCAAGGTGGTACAGTGAGTAGAGTACCAGGCCTGGAGTTAGGAAGACCTCAGCTGTGTGACCCCTGGGCAAGTCCCTTACCCATGTTTGCCTGAGTTTCCTCATCTGTAAAAATGAGCTGGAAAAGGAAATGGCAAACCACTCCAAACCCCAAAGAAAACTCCAGTGGGGTTACAGAGAGTTGGTTATAACTGAAATGACTGAACCACAACAAAATAGAGCAGAAAATATTATTAGTTGTCAAAAATCTGGCAAAGAACTGGAGAAGTACCTTTGAAAAGTAGAACCCAAGTGTTATCACCACATCAGCCAAAATTCAATTTCCTAAATTGTTTTGTTTTGTCATTTTAATTAAAGTATTGTCAAATGCCTTCTGGGCCTTGCAACTTTCTTCCTGGTAGAAGCTAATGAATCCCATTCACAGTCAAGTTATATTTAGTATAAGCCTTTTGAGAAACTGCATATGATAGGGGTCAAGTTGCAACCCAATATAGTTTGTAGGCTAGATGGTCATCAAAATACTATTTCATTTTCTTTCGTATCCTAACATTTAAGGCTTTAAACATTTCCTGTAAGTGCTGGTTGTTTGTGGCTTTTCATAGAATCCTGGCAAAAATTCCTAAATCCTTATTTCCCAACTCCATAATCCCCTTACTTATAAACTGTATTTGGAATGAACAAAGGTTGCATTTAGAGTACAGATCTATATCATGTAACTAACTAATTAGACATCTTTTAAAAGAGCCAGAATGGACAGCTAGGTGGGATGACTCCTGGCCTGGAGTCAGTAAGACTCATCTTCCCAACTTCAAATCTGGCCTCAGACAATGTGTGAAACTGGGCAAGTCACTTAACCCTGTTTGCCTCAGTTTCCTCATCTGCAGAATGAGTTAGTGAAGGAAATGGCAAAGCACCCCAGGACCTTTGCCAAGAAAACCCCAAATGTGGTCACAAAGAGTTGGACACTACTGAAATGACTGACCAATGACAAAAAGGTCAGAGAAACAGCATGGCTTTTGGAGCCAAGAAGATGGATTCCAGTCCTGCCTCTGACACATACTGGCTATATGAGTCTGTCCAAATCACTTAACTTCTGAATCCCAGGCAACTCTCTAAGGCTAGTAATAGAAGAAAAGATGCTAATGTCCTCTGGTAAAGGAAATTTTCTTTTCTAATAGTTACCTAGACCAAAGAAGACACAAGTTTAATTCCTAACTCTAAAAGTTCCAGAAAGATATTAATAGTATTGAAGCTGTCCTTCCAGGTACAAACAGGAACTATATGCATGATTTCCACCATATTCCTATTCTGGTGTAAGGAGGAAAAAAAAATTGTACTTCTTTCAAAGCTGAGGTCAATGTCTCGAAAGGTATATTTTGGAAAAGAACATTTAATTATGATCCTCCTTCCCTCACCTACTCCATCCCTTTCCAGTACCCCTTATCAAGAGAAGCAAAATAAGCTAGGATTCACCAGAGTCAGAAATTTGTGCTGAAGCAAACAGCCCTTGGATGGTTTTCCATTTCCTTCTCCAACTCATTTTGCAGAGGAGGAAACTGAGGCAAACAGAGTTAAATGATTTGCCCAGGGTCACACAATGTCTGAGACCAGATTTGAACTCAGAAAGATGAGTCTTCCTGATTCCAGCCCATTGGCATTCTCTTAGAATAAATAGGGACCTCACAGGTCATTTAATCTTGTACTCTCCAGGCTATTGAATGCAGACTTGGGGACTGTGGGCCTGCAAATCTAGCCTCATGGGCTAAGAAATAGAAGAGACTTCAAAGCTATCTGGTTTAACCCTCATCTTACAGTTGAAGGAGCATCCATTTGTATGATGAATACATTAAAAAGCAAATATTCTGGACTATACAAACTTAGCACATATGTGTATCACTCTTTCAAATCTATCTGGATGCTATTTTGATTAAAAATAAAATGCACATTCATTTCAAAATCTTACTAAATTTATAGTGGCTTTTTGCCATTATACATCTTCTCAGTCAACAAATACTAATAATGCAGTTCTTATTATTGGAGGGCTGTGAAATTTTTTGATGTTAAAGAGGAGTCCTCACACTCAAACTGATTGGAGTCAACAGCAATCACCTCTGCAATATTCCTAATAAGTGGTTTGCTTGAAAACCTCCAGTGAGGTGGAACTCATTGCCTTCTGAGATGGCTTATTCCACTTTTCAATATTTCTACTTTTTAGAGATTGCTATATCAATCTGAAACCTGTCTCTGAAATTTCCACCCACTGTAACTATTCTTGTTCCCTGAGGCCAAATGGAATAAACTCTTGATAATCCCTCTTTTATTGTGACAATGGCAACATGGCATGTGGCAACACTCGAAGATCACCGTTTTGCCCCTCCTTAGTCTTCTTTAGGATAATTATCTTTTTCATTAGTTTCATATTAGTTTCTTTCAATGAATCCTTAAATAACATTGGCTCTAATCTCACATCTTTGTTATCCTCCTTTGGATGCACTCCAGCCTGTAAGTGATTTTCCTAAAATGTGGTTACCAGAACTAAACCTTAGATGTGGTTAAGTGCCCTTTTGAGCCTCTGTTGAATCAGTAAACAAGGGCTAATAATGCTTGCAGCAAGTTTCCTCCATCATTGTTAGGAAGAAACCATTTATGTAAGTGTGAGCTTATTATGATTGATTACTTTCACCTCTTGGATTTCAGCTGGCTCTTCCTTCTTTCAGAAATTCTTTGGGAATCAAAAGAAGTTCTTTCCCCATTTCGTAATAGAAAGCATTGGTGGTAGATTCCATTTTTCCTTAAGTCACAGCTCAGGAAAGTTCCTCAGGGTTCAAGTGGACTATCATTTACTTAACATCAATTATTTGAGCCCCTACCATATGCAAAGTACTACGTTAGGCACTATGGAGCTTACAAAGATGTTTACAACACAGTCTGCTCTCAAGAAGTTAACAATCTAATTGGCATTAGGGATACTGAAAGGTGAGGCCTTAATAATGTTTCCTTTCTTTTCCAGGACAGTCAAACAGACAAGTCTTTGCCCCTTTTCTTCAGAGTTTCTGGAAAGGGGAAAAGAATTTATGACTCTAGGATATTCTTTTCCTAGTGATCCAACAATACATATAAAATATTCTACCCAAATGTGTTTATCTACCTTATAACCCCATCACTGCTGAGCTTCTCTAGCTTTTCTAAAGTCTATAATGAAGAATTAAAATACCCTCCTTCTTTCTGACCAGTTGCAATCTTCACTGATTGTAGTTGTATCTCATTCAACCCCTGGGCACCGTAAGAGGAAGACTTTTTGGATCTAGGGCTTAGAACAGGCTACTGCCACCTTCTGATATAGTATATACTTTATTCTGATGAGATAGGGCTTTCCTCTGCCAATATTGATGTCAGTGGAGTGACTAACCATTCTAGGACTTTCTGAAACACAAAAACCAAATGTAAGTGGTGAAAAGGGGAGATAGGGGCAAATGTGTGGTCACAGTAAAGGGAAGAAGAGTGTGCTTCCAGCAGTTGCATGGACCTAATGGGTCAGCTAATAGGTATCTGACTAGCATCAGGCTTGGCAGCTTTATTGGCTGCCATATCTAAGATCAATCGTAAAATCATCACTAAGTGCCTACTATGTGACCAGCACTGTGTTTGGCACTAAAGATGCAAAGGCATAAACAAAACAATCTCTCCTATCAAGGAACTTTCATTCTATCATGAAAAAATATGCAAAGAAGAAGAAGAAGAAGAAAAGAAAGAAAGAGAAAGTGGAAAAATTGTGGTAGAGAAGGACACTGGTAACTGGTAGGATCAAAAGGCTTCATGTAGAAAGTTATGCATAAGGAAGGAAATTAGAGATTGTGCAAGGAAGAGGAGAGGAGGGAATGCTGGAGAGTTGAGTGCTTGAAAAGGAGAAACATAGAATAAGCCTAAAAATATAGGTTGGATCTAGGTTGTGAATACCTCAACTATCAACTAGGAGTTTATATTTGACCTTAGAGATAATAGGGAGATAACACATTACAGTGCTTAGATAGCTGGCCTTGGAATCAGGAAGACCTTGTCCCTAACACATGCTAGCTGTGTGACCTTGAACAAGTCAATTAACCTCTCACTGTCCAGGCAACTCTCCAAGTTAGAGAACTGTTGAACTGCACTGATAAAGGAGTTTCCTCACCTAGAGCCTCTTATAACAATGAAATCACAAGTCTGATTTTTAAAAAGAAAGGTACTTATTCCCTACTTGTAGGTCTTCTAGTAAAACTGTATGTGTTTCATATATATATAGCTATATGCATGTTTTCTTACCCATTAGGATAATAATAATAATGCTAATGATAATGACATTTTATAGAGCTTTATGCTTTACAAAGTACTTTACAAATATTTCATTTTCTCTTCACAACAATTGTGTGAGGTGGGTGTTATTATCCTCATTGCACAGATGAAGAAATTAAGGCAGACAAAGGGTATGTGACTTATCCAGGGTCACACAGCCTGAGGCTGTATTTGAAATGTGATGTTCCTTGAGTTAAAGCAACATGTTTTGTTGGTTTTTTTTAACCTTTTCTTTTGTATCCCCAGTGCTTAGCATAGTGGTTGGTCTATAGCAAACACTTAATAAATGATCATTGAATGACTGACTTCACTATTATATTGGTCATGCTTCAATATGAAGGAAGATAAGGAAATACAGGGTATCTGGAAGCTCAATAAGCTACCTACAATTCCAACTTTATGCAGCTCAGCATATGGGACCAGCAAAGACAAACCATGGTGAGAACAGTTCTCTCAAGTTAGTAATGGCCTTTTGTCAAGGGAAAAACTGGAGAGAAGATTTTATTTCTGCAACTAGTACCAATGCAGTGAACTACAGCCCACCGAGGTGTCCTACCTCATGTGCCTGATGTGGGAAAGAATCAGGAGGAGCTGAGCCAGACGCCGGTGCTGTTGTTGCAAAGAGAGACCAGCTTTGGCCATCAGGTGAATCAAAGTATCGGTGATCTTATCCAGGACTCGGTGAATGTGATCTTTTTCTTCCAACGTCTTCAAAGTGCTGGAGAGAAATGTATACACTCCTAGAAAAAAAGAGAGAGAAATCCAACAGAATGTGAGCTCTAGGGTTGGTTAAATGTACTTACATCAAGGCTTTATTTAAAAACTGAGTTAATTTCTTTTTATATCACCTTCATTTCCAAATATATCCCTCCTCCCTTCCCTACTCAGTAAGCCATCACTTGAAAAAAGAGGGGAGGGGAAACATGCAGCTTATTAGCAAAGCTAATCAACACATCAACAGAGTTTGACAGTATCCTCAATGTTCCATACCCATAGCCTTCCAATTCTGCAAAAAAGGGAGGAAGGTACATTTGTTTATCACTTCTCTGTGCCCAAGCTTAGTCATTATAATTACACAGGGGTCAGTTTCATTTTGTTGTTTCTGTCCCTTCCATTTACATTCTGGCAGTCATTGTTCCATTAGTATTTTATGTCTTCATGATTTTATTGGTGTGGATGCAACCACTCCACACCTTATTAGATCTAGAAGTAGAAATGACCTTAATGGTCATCAAGTCCAACCCTATCATTTTATAAATAAGGAAACTGAGGCTCAGAAAGAATAAGTTACTTAAGATCATATGGCATCATTGGGTTCAAACTAGAAATGAACTTAGAGGTCATGGAGTCCAAGTACCTCATTTGATACATGAGGAAATTGAGGTAAAGAGAGATGAAATGACTTGCTCAGTCTAACTTATCAGAGAGCTAATAAATGTCACAGATTATAAATTGCAGGTCTGAGATTCAAACCCGGGTCCTTTGCCTCCAAACCCAGCCCACCTTCCACACTATTCTAACAGTCTTTTTGAGTTGCTGTGTCTGGAGAGAGAAAAAAAAAGTGTCACCTGGTGACCAACCTTTTGGTGATTGATCCTTTCTGTACTCAGCTAATGGCCCTATGACAAAATACATACAGTCGATTGTTGGGCCTGTACTCGAAGACATCCTGCATTGGCAAGTCCAGTAGGAACTTACATTTGGACTACATAACCTTCAGGAACCCAAGGACAGCTCCCTTCCATAAGGTAGAATCACAATAAGACTTTAATGAAGAGATTAAATATAGAACAATTAAATAGGTTAGAGATTGGACCTGTGATTTCATTGGCATAGGGAACTTCTAGGTGTGGAAACTCTTGCTGCAACTTATCATCTTAGAGTTGTTTAGAATACTGTGACTTGTGGTTAAATGACTTGCTCAGGGTCACTCAACTAGTATGCATTGGGGTGGGACATGTACCCCAGTTTTCTTCTCTTTCTATCCACTGTGATACACTGGCTCTCAGAATAGCTGAATATTCAAAAATCAGTAGTAGACATTTCTATGTTTTAAGATTTTCCTCTTTCTGTTTAAGTTTTATTGAGGTTTTTTTTTTATTACTCTCATTTCCCAATGACTTTCCACCCACTAAAAGAACTCTCCTTTCTAACAAATAAATTCAGTCAAACAAAATGAATCAATGTGTTGGCCATATCTGAAAGTGTATTCTTCATCCTACACCGATAATCCACCACCTCTCCGCCATGATATGGGAACCGTGCTTCTCCATCAGTCCTCTGAAATCATAATTCATACCCAAGTTGATCAGAATTTTGGTCCTTTTTGAAAAAAAATCTTTTAGATGCTCTCAGAGAAACCCAGAAAGACTTATATGAGCTGATGTAAAGTGAAATGTAATGAGCACAAAGTAACAATAATATTGTAGCTGTGAATGACCTAGCTATTTTCAGTAAAACAATAATACAAGACAGCTCTGAAGGACTTATGATAAAAAATGCTATCAATCCCCAGACAAAGAACTGATGGCGTCTGAATACAGATTGAAGCATACTTTTTTTTTACTTTATTTTTTCTTGAGGTTTTTTTTTTTTTGTTTGTTTGTTTTCTGTCTAAGTTTTCTTTCACAACATGACTATTACGGAAGTGTTTTGCATGACTACACACGTATAACCTATATCAAATTGCTTGCTTTCTCAATGAGGGTGGGATGGGGAGGGAGGAAAGGAGAGAATTTGGAATTCAAAGTTTTAAAAATGAATGTTAAAACTGTTTTTACATGTAACTGGGGAAAAACAAAATAATAAATAATTTTTAATCTTTTTTAAAAATTTCCATTTCATTTTATTTTCAAACTAAGATTTGCCTTCTGTTTCTCCTACCCCTCCCTCAAATAACAAAGTTATCTTAAGACTTTCAAAGAGTTTTGAAGTATCTTATTAGGGAGGGGAAAATTAAGGAAGTAGCATTATCGGGGCTCTTCCCCCCTGCACAGAAACAAGAAAGTTTAGAGTTCCTTCTGAATGAGCCAGATTTGAAAATGAAGACTTCTATTGAAAAATTCCCAAAAGGGAATGTAAATATCTGTCATTATACTGGAAAATCCCAAAGATCACAAGCAGGTTTCCTTTGGTAAACCATATACTTTAAGACTATAAAGACCATACAAGTCATATACCATCTGATAGACATGTAGGAAGGTGTTAGGGAAGACAGAAAGTCATCTGTTGAGAGCAGGATAGATGCAATCCAAGGGTAGCAGGAAAGCTCGTATAAGACCTGCTTGAACTAGTCCATCCTACTTAATGATTCTCATTTCTTATCATACCTCAGCATACACCCTCTACTCTAGTCAAGAAATTCTCCTTATTCTCTTCCTCCTCCAAAACTTGTATAGGTTCATATTGTTCTGCTTGTAGGAAAAACTTTGCTCTTGGAATTTATCAAAACATGGGAATGTTTTGACAATCCATTAAAGTGACCGCTTGAGGCCTGTATCCTCCACATACATTCTCTATGACAAATCAGTACCTATTCCTAATTTTTTGGGAGGATGTGAAAAAGGTAGGAGTGTGTCATTCCCTGTTATATAGAACCACACTGATTCCTTACAAATTAGCTACAATTTCAAGTCAGTAGGAAGCCAAGATACTGTGACTTCCTAAATGGTCTCATGGGGGTCCTTCCTCTTTAAGATCCCTAAGCCTTGCAAAGACTACTTGCATGATAGTTGGGCCTGTGAACCCCACAGGATGTCCAATATATCTGATGTGTACATAGTATTTGTTGTAAGGAAGGATGTTGGGAAACAGTTATGTTTCTCTCCAAAGTATAAGTCTCAAGGAATCTACTTTCCTCCTTTATTTAATCAACTATTCAATCAGCAAACATTTATTGGGTAGCTATTACATGATAGACATTCACTTTCCACCCAAGCCTGCCTTCTCTACCTCTTGATTTGTAACTGCAGTTGGGTTGAGCTATTCTGGTTATATTGCACATAATCTGTAGGCCAGGAAAAAGGAAAAATATACCTACTCTCTAGAGAGGAGTCCATAGTAAATAAAGTACAATTACCTAAAATGAAAAATGACCTTGAAAAAAAATCCCCTACCAACTACCACATGCACAATGAAGATCTCAAAGGTCAATAGAATAGCATCTCCTTTGAATTATAGGATCCAGGGGCAGGTAGGTGGCACAGTGGACAGAACTCCAGCCTTGGAATCAAGAGGACCTAAGTTCAAATCCAGCCTCAGACACATAACACTCACTAGCTGTGTGACTCTGGACAAGTCACTTAACCCCAATTGCCTCACCAAAAAAAAAAAAAAAAAAGAATTATAGGATCATAAAGTTAGAACTGGAAAAGACCTCTGGGGTCATCTAGGACAGAAGTGTCAAACTCACTACCTGTGGACCATGTGACAGTAAAACTCTCAAGGGCCCTGAACCAGATTAAAATGTAAATAAAAATGCAATAAAACAATGATAATGCTAAATTATTGTTTTCTAAGTCAATATGCAGCCTCCCACAAGGATAAATTTCTATTTGAGTCTGACACAAATGGATTGTGTGGTCATTTTGTTGTGTCTGACTCTTTATGACCCCATGGACCACAGCACACCAGGCCCTTCTATGCTCTACTGTCTCTTTAAGTCTGTCCAAGTTCATATTTGTAGTTTCCATGACACTATCTATCCATCTCATCTTCTACTGTCCCTTTCCCCTTTTCCTTCAATCTTTCCCAGCATCAAGGTCTTTTCCAATAAGTCCTGTCTTCTCATTATGTAGCCAAAGTATTTAAGCTTCAACTGTAGTATTTGACCTTCCAGTGAATGATATGAATTAATTTCTTTAAGTATTGGCTGATTTGATTTCCTTGCTGTCCAAGGGACTCCCAAAAGTCTTCTCCAGAACCACAATTCAAAAGCATTGATTCTGTGGCACTCAGCTTTCCTCATAGTCCAACTCACGGCCATACATTGCTACTGGAAAAACCATAGCTTTGACTATATGGATCTGTGTCAGAAAGGTGATGTCTCTGCTTTTTATTACACTTTCCAGACTTTCCATAGTCTTCCTTTCAAGTAGCAAGCATCTTGTAATTATTGGGTGAATTTAATTCAAGTGATCATTGCATATACTACTGTGGACAAGAATCCTTTAGAAGAAATGTAATAGCCCTCACAGTCAATAAAAAGGTGAGAAAAGCAGTACTGGAGTATAATCTCCAAAATGTTAGAATCTAAGGGGAACTGTTAAACACCACAATAATACAAATCTATTCTCTAACCACTGATGCCAAAGAGGTCACAGTTGATCAGTTCTACCACATCTCTAGAAATAACACCAAAAAGGGGTGTCATAGGGGATTGGAATGCTAATGAAGGAAATCAAAAGATAATTGGAATAATAGGCAAGTTTGGTCTTAGATACAAAATGAAACAGGGCAGGGATCAATAGAGTTTTGTCAAGATAACTCACTGGTCATAGCAAACATTCTTTTTCAACAACCCGAAAAGCAACCCTAAGCATGGACATCACCAGATGGTGAATGTAGAAATCATATTGATTATATACTTTGCAGCCAAAGGTGGAGAAGCTCTATACAATCAGTTAGAACAAGACCTGGAGGTGACTGTGGCTCAGATAATGAGCTTCTATTGCAAAATTCAGACTTAAGTTGAAGAAAGTAGGGAAAACCATCAGACATAAGTATAGGTATGACTGATCTA